ACTAAAGAAAGAGAAATCCTTTTTGCAAAAGAATCAAATGCAAAAAAAGAACGCCATCGACAATTTAGATAAATTTTCCCACCAGCCATGGCCATAAAAACAAAGACAGCGACCCGAGAAGATCAGCAAGGGGTGCAGGATCTTCGCTCTCTCTCAGGATCTTCGGGTGTATGAGTGTATATGCGAGGGGTGTCCAAGCCACGGGTGCGGTCATCATACTCATCCTCAGTCTCATCTCCTGCCCCTGCCCACCCATACCCCCATTCTATATTATAATCACGCTGTGCTCGATATCGAATGATAAACTCCAAGCCCGAGTCGAATGAAGATGATGACGCTGCCAGCGTGGTGGTGGAGTTGCGATGGTGATGGTGGTGGTGCAGCTTGCCCTCCAGCTTGTGTGTGCTCAACGGCTCAGCGCATATCCTTCAGGTACAACTTACTCATATATCACAAAAGGATGCTGCGCTCCTTCTGTTGTGTGCTTTTCTGCTTAGCTTTTTGTCTTGTCTGCGTGGTCAGCTCTCTGGCTACAGCGCCTCTCCCCCTCCCCGGCTGCTGCCCCTGCTCCTTGGACTGATCCTGCTGGCCGCTCGAAGGTGACACCGTGGCACAGACAATGGGCCCAAAAGGATGGTCAAGCGACCACCTCTCGCAGCCTCAAAGGAAAAAAAAAAGTAAAAGGGCAAAAAAAGGAAGCGACGAGCTCCGAGCGAAAAAAATTAGATGATTCGAACCAGTCGCTGGCCAAAAGTAAAAAAATAAATAAAAAGAGGCAAGCAAATCAAAATCAACTCATAAAAAACAAAGTTTTATATGTGGGTCTGCATTAAAAATGCAAATGTCGCATTGAGTTTCCTTCTTTCATGGACCACTTTTTTCGTTCTTTTTTTCCTTCTTGGTTGCTCCTTTTCGTCATTCTCCTGCGATGTCCTCGCTGCGGCTGGTCATCCACTTCCTGTCCTTGTTTCTTTGTTGAATTTTAAGATTTTCGGTAAACACTGTTTTGCAATGAAAACTAAATTAAGAAAAGTGGAATAGCTAGATATACTAAGAATATTTTATTAAAGGTGGTTTTTGAAAAAAGTATCTTAAAGTTGATTCATAGACTATAATAAAAAATATCTTGCTTAAACTTTATTGAGATATTTAGTTATTAGTTTAATTTTAAATCCTGCCACTGTCTTAAAAATAAATGAGTTTCTAAGCTTTAAATTATCCTCCCACATTTATTTTTTTATTTTTTTTTGGTTTAACCCCTTAAACGTTTTAAACTTTCTTTTCATTCCGAACCAAACCAAAGGCATTTTTTGGGCTATTCGCGGAGTACAGCATCCACCACCGGCAATAAAAATCTGAAAAGCTAGAGGAAGGACGAAAAAAAAGCAATGAAAAAACTGAGAGGAAGAACCTAAAATATCAGCGAAGCTCAATAAGTTTCGGCCCCTGGACATTGTCCATCCTTCGCTAGAGAGGTTCAGGTACATTCGAGGACGAGGACGAGTACCTCTGCCTCAACCTCAAGCTCAACCTCTACCTACATTCATTTGAATGCAGACAAGTCCTTGCCGTCGTCGTCGCCAGTGGTGATCTTCCTTTGTGCGGCGGCCAAGTGCGCTGCTGTCTGCCGCCCTCTTCCAGCTTCACCCCTATCCCCTACCTCTCCCTCCCCCTCCCGGAGGACCAGCCTGGCATCTCGAAGGAAATGAAAAGCATGCAGAAAAAGTTTTATTATGCGCGAGGAAAAAAATGAGATTTTTTATATGAAAATATTTGGAACGGACTGCGGCTGGCATTGCAGGGGGTTGGTAGGGGAACACAGGCACACATATGGTATGGGGGTAGGGTAGGGTGGTACCTATAGTTGGGTAGGGTTTGGGTTTGTGCCTGTGCCTGCGCCTGTGTGTTTTTGTGCCTCTCGGATCGCAAGAAGTGTTGGATGTCATCTTATTATTTCGAGACCATCGCAGCGACGTCGGCAGAGCGATCGCCTTGATGATGACCATGCGCTACCGTCCAGGATTTCGTGATTCCCCTGCGATGGCTGCTGCTGGCTCTGTTGCTGCCACTACGGGGCCACCGCGTCTCCCGTCAGATGTAAGCCTCGCAAAAGTGTGGGAATCAAAACAGGATCGGCACAAAATTGCGTTATCGCCACAGATACGGATATTTTTGCTGCTGCTGCCGCGCTTGATGATGCCTCCGATTTTTGATGATGCTGCTGTTGCTGTTCCTCTTGCTAGCTGCCCCTGATGGTCAGCCAGATCGCGATCAGTGCGAGGGGCAGCGTTATCCTTGCTGGAACCTCATGTCCTCATTTCGTTTGGTTTCGTTTCATTTCAGCCTTGTTGCCTACATTTTCTCTGTTTGGTTTTCGTTTTCTGTCCTAGTTTTGATTTTTAAAGATTTTTATTTTGAATTTTTAAAAAATATATTAAAAAATATAAGATATTTTTTAAATCCCATACTTTTGATATAAATGATTTTATTCAAAAAATATAATTTAAGATCTTGTAGGGGGTCCCCTTTAATGAATTTCTTTTTATAAATCCTGCTAATTCTAGAATAAATAAACCGTGGGCTTCGTTTTCCCAAGTAACTCCAAAGTATCTTTATTTTTTTTGGCTCCCCGGCGCGGTCATCGCACCTGCCATTATCTGGCAAATTGAGTTAGCGAATTGCGAAAATCCAAAAGAGATGGGCACATAGAACCATGACAGATCTTATCGGGGGCATCTAGATACGCTTTACTTGTCGCTCGGCCATTGTCCGTGACTCCGAGTTAATTAAACTTGGACGGGCAGCGGGCAGCGGCTGCGGCTGTGGCTGCGACGGAGAGTAGTGGATCATAAAAACGGATTGCCCGCCGGGCGGCGATGGGAGCAGAAGAATTGCAGTTAATTGAAATGTTCCTCAAACATGGTATACACGGGCACAATGGGTGCGACAGGGAGGTAGGCTTCTGGGTGGAAAAGAAACGGGAGATACACCGGGAGAAAGAGAGGAAAGCCCATGGCGACAAAACGCATCAGCTCTCGACTTTGTTGGCATCTTTGGGCATTGGAATCTCTGAGGGGTCAATTCGACATCAAAGTGGAAAAAAAATTGCAGGGAAAAAAAGACGGGGAGAGAGTCTTTTGGCGAGAACTTAGAAGTAGAGAACGCCGGAGAGAGCTCAACGACAAAATGTGTTTGGACTACAAGCCGGCAAAGCTGAGGCTGGGTGGTTGCTAGCTGGGGCGAAAAACTACAAAAAGCCCAGCCACACACACTCACACACATACACCCTGACTTGGGGAGGCCGACTGTGTCGGTGTGACGGTGAGAGAGATTGCAATACCAATGCAATCGCCTGCCGCTGCGAATGCCAAAAACAAAACAAAAAGGAAGCGCACGCTGCGCTTGTGTGCGAAACTTTGCCTTGCCGGCTGTGCAACTCTCGCTCTCTCTTGGCTCTTTCTCAGAGAGAGAGAGTTCCATGTGTGTGTGTGTGAACTGCAAGCTTTTTTGTAGCTGACGGATACGAAGACCGAGTCTGAGACTGACTGACTACCCAGGCTGCCGGGTATCTGTATCTGTATCGCATCGCCACTCCACTCGCAAGTATCGCGGACGCGCAAACGACCATGCGAAAATATTGCAACCACAAATCTGGAACTTTTTACACAAACGGTTAAGATTTATCTGAAGTCTAGACCCAATAAACTAGCAAACACATTATTCGGAACTAAAACAGTCATCGTTGGAAATCAAATTCACAAAATTTACGAAAAATTACCATTAAAATCAACCCGGAGTCCGCGCATACACGTCTTCATCGCACATTTTTGGATTAACATCTGCAATAGAACCATCAACAACCGGCACTACAGCAACTTCCCAAAAAATATCTAACAATAGAATTGAAATAACAGTTACCAGCAAACTTCTTGTTAGTGTTTTAAAAGGTTTAAGCAAAACATTTGCCAGTTTTTGTTTAAGTTTTTCTTTATTTGCTTCAATTAATAATAACGGTAATATAAATTTTATAATCTTTATATAATGTTAAGTGTGTAATTGTGAGGATCGCTAAATAAATACGCTTCTAATATAATACAATATAATACCGAATAATACGCAGTCGTAATATAATATCACGTATAATAAGGCGAAACGTATCTGACGGATGCAAGTATCTATGGCCGCGCGTTGCAAACTCTAAAAGCGTTCAAAAATGCAGCGACATGTCTGGAAATGCATAAAAATCAAATACAAAATCTATAAATTTCAAACAAGTGAAGGCAACACAACCTAAAATTAAAGCAAAAAACAAATATCTACAAAATATAAACCAAAGTGCATATTTTGTGTTTAGTGTCGAATTATGATCATAAAGTGAAGTTGATAAATCAAACAATTTAACAAACTGAAAACAATTGAAATTATATAATTATCCAGTTAGAGTGCAAACCAGTACACGGACCGAGCACACTCTCACAAGCTAGCGACTGCGTTTACATCCGTATTATAAACCGCAATTCACTTTGCACACATTCGCAATTAAACTTTCAATCGGATTGGATTCGGATTCGGATTAGTACTAGATCGGATCACCCCATCTCACATCTTGTACACAGACACTACTACTAACTATAGCAAACGCAGTCGGACAAGACTCTCGAAATTGAATCTATGCCAAAATTGAACTACTAGCTGAAGGAAATTTAAATCAAAATTAACTGACAAGTCTAATTGCCAAGTGCCTCCAACTGAAGCTTTAAACAAAGCAACTAAACACACTTTACGTAACCCTCTCTGGCCGGTTGCAATTGCAGTTGCCATTGCAGTTGCAGTTGCAGATTCAGGTTCAGACTTGGACCCAGTCTCAGGGAAAGGAAAAGTGCATTCGAAAAGCTCTTGAATCTGCGCTGGACCATCGCACGCACACCACAGCGATCGGCGATTCAAAGCTCCACGGGGGTATACGCCCCAGCAAAAAAAAAATAGAAGAGAGCGACTGCAACAACTGCAGCAGCCGAGCGATCAGCAACGCGAAGAGAGCGAGCTCGTAACTTGTTCTCCGAGACTTCGTGCACTTCCTGTGCAGCGCCGCTGCTCCGATCGGATCCGATCTGCAGCCCCCAGCCACAGGCGATCATTTCGCTGGCGAATGCAACGTTGATTGCAATTACTGCAGAGCAGAGCAGAGCCGAGCCGAGCCATCCATCCATCCGTCGCTACTGCGCTGCATTCTCGAGCGAAAAGTGAAAGAGAGGAGATTTGCGATCTGCGATCTGCGGTCTACGGTCGGCTTTCTGCGGTGATCTACTGTACTCTCATCGCATCCCGGTCTCCACTGCACTCTCACTCACCCAGCGGATCGCGCAACGTGTCGGAAAAGCGCGAAAGTTTTGCACAAAAAAAAGAAACGAATTATAATTTTAGTAATAAGTGCCGTAAAGTGAATCTCTAGTGAAGTTCTTCGATAGTGAATTAATAAAAGACAAGCCCCAAAACACACATTCGCATAAATTCGCATAAATATAGTTTAGCACATTTTCGGATTAAATATCTACACAGCACCCACTGGATACGACGCACCGCTCCACACATTTGGATACACAGCGCCTGAGATACTCTCTACTCGGAAGTACCACCAACAATTCGTTCGAGTAAGTTGCCAATTCTGATTTAAAACTGCTGCCCAGTTGGCCTTAATGCAGCTGGCTGGCACACCTTTTTCGTTAAATAGAACAGATATGGATCTCTGGCTTACTTTTATGGCCAACTTGCCGATGATTCTACTTTGAATTTCGTTAGACATCGTAAAGATATGGGGCTTAGATCGGTGCTCTCAAGGTCTCATGATGATTAGGAATTTCGGGATTGGGGAGACTGAGTGATAATTTTTTTTTGTCTCTTAACCAAATTCCTTTGATTCGCTTTCCCTTTCTCCCAGACTCTAAATAAATCCGCCTGACCACAAAGATTCTCACACCTTCTTGGAATTCTTCCCCAGCTTCTTGGGTTACCCAGCTGATGTACTGTTAGTAGGCGGCGGTCTCTTTCATTTGGCCGTCTTCCCAGGGTTCTCCAAGCTCTCCCTATGCCCCAAACTTTCCGTAACCTGAGCACCTTCCAAAATAAATAATTTCAGGCACATATTTCGCCACAAGTATCTCGAAGAATTCCTCTTATTCTCACTTTGACGAATCTTTGTTTATTTTTACGCCACTCGAGGGTACTGAATATCAAACTTATTTGATGTTTGATTGGAATGTTCACGTGCTTGCAGGCCACTTACCTTCTGGGCGATTTGGGGGCGTTGGGGTAGCTGCTGCTTTAGTGGTGGTTGTTTTTGTTGGGGCAGGCAGGCTGGCAGACTGGCAGACGAACAAAACCCACAAGTTCATGACCAAAACGCCGGATAGCCAGCCGAACGGATATAGCGTGGGCGCTCGTCGTCCCCATCCATGCACCGGGCATCCTACGCTCTGGACACCCCATCTCCAGCCCTAGAGGAGATGGTCCCTTCCACCTTCGCAGCATGCCCTAAACCGAAACCCACTGTCCAGTCATCTCTCTCCTGCATTCGTAAAAGTTTCTGTATCTGCATCGGCATCTGTATCTGTACCCCAGTATCTGTGTGTGTGCGAATGCCTCTGCTGCGAGTGCAACGGTGTGCGTTTATTTTAGTTACCGATTCGACGATTTGCCTCGTTCCTCCAAAGTTGTATAAAAATTTACAGACAGCATCTACGCTTTACACACAGCCCTTAGCCCTTAGGTTGTTCGATGTTGTTTTTCGCTCATTTAACCCCTTTGAAGGAATGTGTTCGCCAGAGCTCTGTTTTTTTTTTTGTATTCTTTCTCAATTTCGCATAGAAGCTTCCCATGTCGGTGTGGTGTGCGTGTGGAACGCATTGTGGAACGTCGACAGTGTATCTGGCAGATACGCGAACCGAACTTGCTCCAAACTTTACATTTTTTAGCCTATTTTTGGAGGTATTTTCACTTTTATTTGGTCTGGGGTTTCGGTCACTTCTGGCCCCCCAACCCGAGATGGAAGATAGTCTCCGGTTCCACAAAATCTTCACGCGGCAATGTTCTTAGCTTTTTTTTTTTGGCCGTACACCGGAGACGATCATCCACAGCCCCAGAAACCGAGAGCGAAGAAAAAAAATTCGCGGAGAGCGATTCATGTTTTTTCGCCATTCGCTTTGTGTGCAAATTCTGCTGGCACTCGCGCTGCTTATCAAGCGGCTCTCACGGTCTCTTCTGAAGCTCTCTCCAGACGGCTCTCTCTTTTGTTTGGCTTTTTCTTGTTTTTTTTTTTATTTGCATGCCTTGCGAACTTTTTGCCTGCCTGGCGCGCGAGTTGAGATACAAAAGTGTGCATGTGTGTGTGAGGGAGAGTGACGCTCTGAGGGCTCTCCTTTGTATCTGTGTGTGTGTGCACTTTTGTCGATGCAGCTTTCGAGACTCCCCAGCCGAGTTTGTTTGGTCTGTTCTGTGGCTTTGTAGTGCGAGGCAAGTGACGACGTGAAGACCAAAATTGCGAGCGGATTTGCGAGCGGAGTAGCAGCAGCTTCAGACGTGCGAGGAACCGAACCGAGAACCGGTGACGTAGCCGTCCGCCATTATTACAACGCGGCTGCCACACGCTAAATTGGCCAAATCCCCAAAATAACATTCGCAAATTCAATTACAGTGCTTGCCAAAAAAACAAAAAAAAATAAATTAAAAATAAAAAATATAATAATAAATACAGTAGAAATTCCCATAGTTGTTAGATACAATGTTGGAAGAGAGCGCGCGCGGCATGCGAAACGAAACGTAACGACGGATAGAAACGGCAGCGGCACTGCGGCCAATTGTGATCTCATATAAAGTACACGGATACCTTGTATTTGTATCCCGATCTTAAATAAAATAGTAATCTTTTACATATGTAGAAAATGCAACAAATCTAGCAACAAATTATTGTGCAACGCAATTACTACAACACAGAAAGAAAGTCCAACATCTAAGCTACAACTAATAAATATCTACTAAAATACATAGTTCAAATAGAACGTAACCGATTCATCGAAATAATATTGTGAATTCTGCAAGTGCAAGCCAAATACAAAAGGTAATTTTAAGTATCTTGGCGATACATTTTTGTGGACTGCAATTTGCAATTAGTGCTGCACACAGATACGAACCTTTACTTATAAATATACATATATAGATGTATAGGTACTACATATATAAAAAAAAAAAGCAAAAAAAAAAGTGAGCGAACAGACTTGGGACAGCAGCAACAACAATATCGTATCAAGTGCCTATATTTATGCGGGAGAGTGTGTGTGTGCGTGTGTTAGTACGTTCCGATGTAGGAACAAAAAGCGACGGCATTTTATTTTATTTTTTTCCTTTCGTCTTCGTCTTTCTTCTCTTCTCTTGCCCATTGCAGTGCAGCCCCAACATCGAGTGCCCCCCATATATACACATACAGACAGACATATGCATGCCTGGTTGGTGTGAGTGTTTGCAATAATGTGCAAAAATTAGAAACGGCGGTATATGTATTTATACTTACATATATAATATATGTAGGTATATTTGTATGGGGTATAAATTTAAAAAGAAATCTAAACAGCTGACGCATGGCGTGAAGTGAAATGAAATGAAACGAAATGAAATGTATGTGCGTTCAGGTGTTTTCTGATATTTAATAAAACCAGCGACAGCGACAACGAACCCCAACAACACCGCCCACAGACGGCGTCGTTGTTCAACACTGCAATGCACACTCACACACACACACACTGGTACACCAAACACAAACATTTATAGAAGAGGCCCCACAATGGAAGCGCCCCAACACACTCACACACACACAAACCCCGAAGAGAGGCATGCAGTACTGGGTTTTTTTTCGCGACGCTTGCTTTTCTGTCTCTGTATGGGTGTATGTGTGTGTGTGTGCAGCAATGCATTTAACATCGTCACAATCGCATTAAAACGTCTCTCGTCTACCTCTTTGGTATCTTCCCCTCCCCCAATTATAATCCACCTCTGACCCCCTTCGCCAAGCTACTGGGCTGTCCACCATTTTGATTTTTGCGTTTTGCATCGTTCTTCGTCCCTTCTTCTCGGCCCCGAGTTCACGACTTCCCTTTCTCCCTTTCCCGTTTCTTTATTCCTTCAGCTCCAACCGCCGACGCCGTCGCTTAAATCATTAAAAAGTGAACTTAAAATAAAAAGTCCAGATAAAGTTGAACCTCTGGACGTGTGTGTGTGTGTCTGTGTGTGAGAAACCGGTTTGTTCTGCCTCTGGAATTGAGATTCTTTTTTTTTTTTTTGCAAAGTTTTTGTTTGTTGCCTTGCTGTGGCATTTGATTTGCAATTTGGATGTTGGCGCTGCATCCAGCGCTGTGTTGCCTGCTTTACATCCTGGGCTCCATTCCTCGGCCACGTGTCAACCAAATGGCGTCCGCACACTAATGCACCCACACACACACACACAGGGGACTAAAACAAAACTAACACACATGTGTGCAGTTTTGAAAACCGGCCGGCGAGAGTGGCCAGGAAAAAGGAGCCAGGGAGGCCGACATGAGAGAAGTGGGTGGGCGAAAAGCTCCAATGCAGTGGCCGAGCGCCAAAAAGCTCCGGAGTGCATTGCGCTCCCTGCACGCAGCGACAGGGAGCAGAGAGCGAAGGCAAGAGAGAGCTGCACACACATTACTGCAATTATTTGCAGTTCCTTTCGTCGTGCTTCCGTTTCTTCTTCTGTTGTCTGTCGCATCCTCAACAACCGCCTCCCCCATGGCGATCCCCCATGCACTCCACCCATGTGCGCATAATTTGGCGCTTCGCCATGTTTTCTCCCCTTTCCACCGCCTCCCGCCCACCACTCTGGCCCCAAAAACGACTCTCATTTCGCTCTGATGTTGCATGATGCATGACTGGGCTCTCTGTGGCAGAACATGGCCGGCGGGAACTGGGGATGGGGGCACATCCGGGGGCGAAGAGTGATTCGAGGGGTTGCCGGCAAACACGTTTTGGCTTTTGCATTCGACTTGGGAGCCGTGTTAAGTAATTTCTCTTTGCAGTTTTTCTCCCCCCTACCGCCCTAACCCTTGCGGGAGCCTCTGGAGTTGTTTGTTTGTGGAAAGTTTCTGCATCTTCCTTATTAATTATTCAAATTGAAAATTTATTAATAAGGCACTGTCGGGATTATACTGTCTAGTTGTCATCTTTAATTAAAATATTGTTTTTAATTATCAGACTCTCCAGACCCTTTCTTCATTATTTTTTCCAATTTGGCCGATTCTTTCTTCAAAGGAACCTCAACTCTCCAACTCTCTTATTATTAATTCAGCTTGCTCAAATATGTTAACCAGACCGTGCTTCGTTCATTTCCTGGGAAATCATTTCCCAGTGCTGCACTAAATTTATGCAACATCCCGTTGCAAGCCGTGCCAGGCGGAGACATCCGCCAGGATATGCCACCATTCTATTCATTCACTCCCAGCCCCAACCCCAGCCCCTCCGTAGCGGGAGGCACTTGGAGCAGCCTAATTTCGCAAATAATAAAATATGCTGGAATAAAAATACAAGATACGCGCTCAACAAGAGTCCTTTACCGTTCTCCGGTTTTATCGCGGCCTCCCCTCCCCAC